ACTCTGAAGCTAATTACAGAAACCCAACAATTCCCACCATGAGCAAGCACTAGGCGACACAGGCAAGGAAAAACTTCCTTTAACAGGCAGAAACCTCGAGCAGAACCATGGAACCATAGGAAAAAGCAGCACAAAAATCACTATTTGACTGTAAAACGTGACTAAAATCAGCACGTTTAAACATCAGAATGAGGCTACAGAAGCTTCTGACCCCTTCAGTCTCTTGTTTCTTTGCCTCGGATAGCAGTAAATGTGAATATCAGCGGTTTATTTCTCACCAGGAAGTGGATGTACATCCTCCAGAGCACCGGGCAGTGGGCGCCCATCTCCGAGGCGGTGGCGTTTTCAAACAGCGCCCGGATGCGGTTACTGAGGCCGTTCTCCGGAAGAACGGGCAGAGCCTCATCATGGCCGCAAGACCTAGAGATATCAGCACTTTAACAACTGCTGTGCAATTGTGTTATATTTATTGACCTGTGTATTATGTGTACTGTGTGAGCCATCAATGATTGTATATATTTTAGTCACCCAAATCTCTACGCTGTGTTACTTCCTTGTATATTTGTTTTTGCTGTTTGTACTTTATGCACCTTTTCCTCCTTTTGAACTCTAACCGATGTGTGACCAGTGAATTTCTCCACTGTGAGATCAATAAAGCTCTGATCTTATCTTATCTTATCTTAAATATATGAGCTGTTAATTCAGTAAAACGTGGCTCGAATTTTCCAAACAGGAGTCCATCTTTAAATAAATAAGCTAAGTTAAAGTTCCTGTCTAAAATCAGAGTGAGTTAGGGCTGGTCCTGTATCTCTACCTCCGTTCTTCAGTCTATTCTGTGGGTCTAATCCTCCATGACATATATGTCCATAACAATTTTCTGCCAGTCCTCTTTTAGGGGGTTCTTCTTCTTTGTACCGTTTTTTGGTGAATGTTTTTTTGACTGGCAGCGATCAGAATTTTAAACCTGTACCTGTCAGATTTACCCCAAATATTTCCTGAGACATTTCCAAGACACAACACTGTCCTTTTCACGTCTTAAAGGGGACATATTATGCAAAACCAAGTTTTTAATCATTTGATTGTGTACATTTGGGACTGTGGAGGGCCTATCAGCAGGTAAAGTGTGAAAAAAAATGACTGGGTCATGTTTTTGTGGGCCGCCTCAGTCTGAATCAAGGAGATAAATCA